TTTAAGGGCGCACACAGAAAAATCAAGTATTGAATACAAAACTAGATATGAAGGATTTTATTTCATTTGTACTACTAAAGATTTCCACATTGGATGCACCAAAGACACACCTGAGGGATGAACTTCAAAGTCAGATTAGTGGGTGACTGAGGTATGTTGAGCTTAAAGTTGGAGTTTCCAGTGTAACGAAGGTGACTCTCTTCTAACCTGCTAGATCACCATGGGAACTTATGGTGTGGAGCCAACCTGGTCCTGAGCACGTTGTGTTCAGAGTTTCAGATTTGTGTTGGCTGCATCTCCCTTCAGTTAAAACGTGTCCTGACGCTTCTCTGTGAGTGATACAGACTCTAAACTGAAGGGATATGTTATATCTGTAAACCTTACCAATCCCACTAAATGAAGATGAGCAGTTAGTATCACACACTGTATGTGTTGCATTGCCACAGGAATCCGACATGTCCGCAGCTGGTGATGCAGAAATTGCAGAATTATGTTTTTGTGTTTGGTCCTGATTTGCCGCCAAATCGGTTTGCACTGCTGGTACGGCAGCTAAGAGAATGCTGATTAGAAAATTGTTTCTCCTCTTGGCATTCATTACATAGAATATTCAGTCAATACCATTAATTTCCCTTCGATCAAACCTAAAACCTTTGGTTTTAACTTGCTCTTTGGTTAGGTTCAAACACCTCAACTATTTGGATAGGTTTAGGAAAATATCATGACTTGTGTTAAAGCCTCCATTTGTTGGGTTGCCATGGTGATTAGTCCTGTCCAATCTGGTATTTGTTGAGTTGAAAAGCATCAACATTTGAGCAATACGAACAATGGCAACAATGTGGTGGGCCGGTGTTTTATGAAGACAATCAGGCTGCCACAAACATCCAACAAATAGAGGCAAGGGTCATTTGTAATGAATTACAACGACAAGGACTTGATCTCAGTCAAATTCCTTATTTTGCTTAATCCCCGTCCACCAAAGCTTTCCAATGTGCTCTGTCTCAGAAAGGGAAATAAGACATTTGTTTTGCATTTCCAAGGTTCATTTGGACAATTGAAATGTTGTTTGGCGTCACTGAGGAATCCTTTCAACCTACTGTCACCGTGACCAGAACTCAAGAACAACATCTCGTCTTGCAAAGGTCCATGAGTTACAACACAACAGAACGTGAGACTTTGCAGA